ATAAGATACGTTAATTAAAAATGTAACGTATCAATATTTACGTAAACATATTTCATGTAAACGTCAATATTTACGTAACAGCCAATGTACAGTATTTTTTGCTTTTTTAAAATGCCACATTGCTATTTCATTTGCATTATTTGTTGCCAATGAAGCCGCACGACCATATGAATGAGGGGGCCCCTAACAGTTCAAGAATAAAAGCCAATTACCCAATTTCATTTCAAGTATATTCCACTACACCTAACATTTTGTAGAGAGATTATATTGACAACTTTATGTAATTGATAAGGCTGAGACAACTAACTGTCATCCCCCATGTCAAGGAATTCCAGCTTTAACAGTAACCCCACAACAAATTTCTCAAAACTATGATAGAGGGTTATTCATTGGCACAGAAGTACGATAAGAAATGACACAACGTGACAAATGAAAAATCAAACATACACTCTAACGGAAATACCTCCTTTTGAAGTTAGAACGTGTCTTCCCAACAGATATCTTTTTTTTTCAAATAAAATCATAGATTAATCTGCATTACACTGATGAAATCACAGAAGTGTTTAGCTACAAAAGATCCATCAATACGATTTTAATACTATTTAAAGGTTCTTCCAAAGGAAGAGATACCAGATAACATACTAATAATAGCTCTGATGACTTACGGTATGGGAAATATTTTATTCATTGAATGATCATTGATCAACCATATTTGGTAACTAACGCAATTAATATCATTATTGTTTTTACACTTATTACTCTTTAATCAATGCTAAATGATCGAAATATGTATAATTTCACTAAATTTTTTAGCAGTCAGATGAATTAGCGTAAGCCTTGAAAGTAACCGTCGATTTCGACGGGTTTCACATAGTAATCATTATTGGCTTATACAGTATAGCATTTAAATGGTCCGTTTTAACAAAGTTTTTGTGAACGTCAGTTTAACCGGAAAAACCGTTATCCGGACTGGCCTCAGTCCTGAAGAGTCCGGATAAGAGGGAGTCTACTGTAAATTAATTTAAAAAGGGATTCTGCACATGTACAGGAAAATATCTTTTTAACAGTATGCGTAGATTTTCCCTGCGATGCACTCAAGCTGATATAAAAGGTTTTCAAGAAACATGCTTGCTACATACAGTATATGTAGGATATTTCTTCATTGCCATATTTGATATGTTCACATAGCTAAATGACTGGTTCAACTAATCTTTTAGGTTATATGACCTAGGCCCAGTTCCTTGAGGGTCAGCTAAGACTAAGAGAAGATGTACCGTGAACTCGAGTTACAAGTCGAGTCAGACTCAACTCGAAACTCGACCCGTAACCAATGCATCATGGGATGCCGCACTGAGCTATAATTCTAACTGGAGGTAGCACCGAATGTCAAAGATGCGTGTCGCCAGCCGCCATGTTTGCGTGAGGTGGGTGTCATAAGAAGCCATGTTATTGCTATGACAAGAAAACTCACTGCTATACCAACCTAGTTATAAGAAGCCATGTTATTGCTATGATAAGAAAACCAACTGCTATACCAACCTAACAAAATCAGCGATACGCTTTTGACAGACTTCTGCCATGGCAGTGCTACCTCCAGTTATAATTTTAGCTCAGTGGGATGCCGCAACCCCGGTCCGCAACGACTCGGTGTCGACCAATAGAATAGCGTGTCAGCTTTACGAGTCGACTCGACTCGACTCGGTCGGTATCACTAACCAACTAAGGGAGTATGTTTTATCTATGGTTACGAGTTCGTGTAGCTTCGGCAATCTCCGTACGAGTTCGTACCAACTCGAGTTGTAATTGAGATGGCTCGAGTCGAGTTGACTCGACTCGAGTTGTAATTGAGATGGCTCGAGTCGAAACTCGACTCGGGTCTTGACTCGAGTCAACTCGACTCGCCAACTCAACTCGATCGTCACATCACTAAGCAAAACACTAGGGTTTGTTTCGAGTTTCGACTTTCTTCAGTTTCTTGCGTTCTTCAGGAGACCTTGCCGTCAGACCGTCACCGCCCTTTTTTTCGTCTGTCTAGAAACGGGACAGCGGAATTTGAAATCGGAACAACGCTTCCCCCACTACTGCGCTGTGCCGAACGCTTCCGAATCTTACCGAGCAGTGCCGAACTTAAACGTCAAATTCAATGCTGTCTGTCGCGTGGTCGCGTGGTGTACTTAATCGTTTTGGCTTGTCTTGTCAACAATGCATGTATGCCAGTGCTCAGTTTTGTGATAAGAGTTTTGTTAATCGGTGGGTTTTGTCTCGACACCTTCGTGAAATACACGAATTCATTGAGGGGGAAAAGTATAAGTATAAGTAAAAAATAAGTACTCATACTGTGAGTACTTATTTAGGCTACCTACGATACAAAACCAATGATAGATTTTAAGGTACAATAAAAGAACGTGTTAAATGGTTTGCACTGTAAACAAAAAAACTATCACAACAGTTACAAACCGAAAAATAGAAACAAATAGGAAAATTGAAATAAATATGAAGAATAGGATAATTTTTTTAACATATTTTATCGAAATTATAATCAGGTAAATGGAAATTCACTAAGTCTATATTTGCTGCGGAAGGGGGATTATATTGCTGTTTACACAAAAATAAAAATAAACCTCATAAAACTCAGGATAATGGCTTGGCAATGATTATAGAATCTTAATTATTTCCTATATCCATGAATGATTTCTTTTACAACAAATTATTGCCTGTAAAATATTATTACAGCATTTCACAAATATTAGAACAGACTCAGTATAATAGATCATACAAATGGTGTAACTGATGAAATTATATTAACATATTGTTTGACAGCTCCATTTAAGTAATGTTAAATAATGTTTACATTCGGGCTAGTGACATCATTATTTGAAATTTATAATCCCTACCCTCTCTGTTTTAATATTCGTGCAGTATTTAATATGTTTGAACCAGCTGTGTGGAGTGGAATTGTGAAATCAAAACTCATTTGACAGTTAGTTCTGCTTGTTTATATTTTTAAACTTTGTAGGTTTGTTCTTTGTTACCATGGATATACCATCAATCAATAATACTTTTAAATCTCTCACCTCAAATTTTTGAAAGCCCACTGGGCAGAGCCCTAGGACAATATCGAAGCGGGAATAGTTCTATATGTATCCTCGGAACTGTAGCTTCATGTGTGTGCAATTTGAGCCCAGTCGGTTCAGTAGTTTTTGCGTTATTGAGTAGCAGACAGACACACAAACACACACCATCTCATTTTTATATATTAGTATAGTATAGATAATACATTTTAATATTTTTTCCCCCAATTTTAATTTAATTTATATAAATGTCATCATATTTACTTATCGTTTAATTTAAAACAGATTGTAAATAAAACTTTGCAAAAAAAATATATTTAATAATTTGTAATCATTAGGTAATAATCAACCATCAATTATAAATTAAATGAAATTGTAACAGCTGACACATTCTTATTTTCTAAGTTAAAGTTCTTGTTCTTCACATTTTTTTACTTGCCTTGAATTTTCATAATTTGAGTATTTACTTGAACAGAAGTGAATAAGCATGAGTATTTACTTGTACTTCTAAAAAAAGCCTTTCCAAGGAAGTATATACCCTCATAAACCTATAAATTTGGTGTGAATAACCACCAGCAAATACTTGCCTAAAGAGTAAATACTTGTTTTTCAACTAGTTATCAATAATCCATGCTTGTTTAAATTTACTTGTTGATAAATGCATGTAACACATTCAGTACCGTATAGTGTAATACACTTATTTAAATTATGTTTGACTCTAGTAATTTCCGCAAAATAATGCTTGAGTAATTGAAGATGGAACCTTTGTGGTATTCCTTCGTTATGTTCAAGCTATTATTTTGTTAATGAAAATCCATCCACAAGTCTCAATTATGCAAAACCTTCACATTTTACATGTTTAAACGAAGGCCTTAGACATTCAACAATATATATATTTATCTATATTTATTTATTTAATGTATATATATACTTGTACTGTATAATGTTTACTTTAAAATGGAGTACATACTTGCAAGTATACCCTCATCTCCGATAGATCAGTGAGTATACCATCTCATTTAGGAAGTATTTACTTGCAAGTAAAGAGTCGCTTTTATTCACAAGAGATTACTTGAACGACGAATACTCGCAAGTATTTACTCACAAGTAAATACTTGCTGTACTTGTATTCACTCGGCCCAGTGGTATGCTTGCTAGTGAAATCTTTTACTGAAATAAAAGTTTTTGAACTTGAACACACACACTGACATCCCAGATATTTTCACAACAGAGATACTGGTACCTACAAACATAAACGTAGACTCATGCTGAGTAACTTGTGACACTGACAAACAAACAAAATAAACAAGTAGGCCTATAGAAAATTCACAATAAGATATTTCTCATTTAAAATAGCCAAATTTTTGTGTTCATTTTGTTGTTACAGTTTCCAAGATGAAGAAAATATGTTGTAAATAAATGTAAATATTATTTGTGTGTGCGAGTGTGTATCAATATATGTGTTAAATTGTTACATTTTAAGAAAAATTTATTTTGAAGACCAGGAATTTTAACACGAGGTATGTTACTAGTTTTAAAATGTTCACAGCTGAAAATAGGCCTACCTGTTAGCTATAATTTAGAACGACATGGAATTAAACTTTTTCTTTCTATACTTTTGTTATTTAAACAGTGTAAACAACAATTAATAATAGTTAGGATTTTTATGTAATTAATCTTTATTTGGACTTATATAGTTTTTTGTAATTTTTTATAATTATTCTAGAAATAATTTTCAATTAACATATTTAGATTTATATTTAACATTAAACGGCTACTGTACTTTGTTCCCGCGTAATTTAAAACAGGCTCGGTGATGACAGAAACCCGCGATCAGATGTTCAGTTCGGATTTCAATTCCGCTGTCCCGTTTCTAGACAGACGAAGGTGGGCGGTGACGGTCTGACGGCAAGGTCTCGTGTTTTTCTACGTGTTATTTTAGCCTAAGTCACTGGTCCGAGTAAAGTCACAGTCCTCTCCCTCTCGCTCTTTACTCTATTAAGTTACACCTGTTTTTATTTTGCTAAGAAGGTTATAAGCATAAGCAGGGCAGGAACAATTTCAATTTCAAGTAAGTTATTCGTGGTTATGGTATAAGTTATAAGTTAGTGGTGAAGGGTTAAGTCATAATCTTAAAGTCTGCATAGACCTAGGCAAAGCAAACTTAACTTAATTTGAGGGCTTTATTCACTTTATTGTTTTGTTGCACTAGGCTACTTAGTGCGCCGTTTAATCATTGACATGAAAATTTAGATCGTCCTAGGCTATGCATGAGAGTGACAAGAATCCGACGTGATGCATAAGGTCTATATTTTCATGTAGGGCTAGCTTGTGCTTTTTTACTTTAGCCTGGAGTGGAGTAGCCTATTAGTGTTATCTGGTTAGTCTGCCAGTGTGTTAGTAGGGAAGATAGATCACTAATGGCCCAAAACCAAGTTCTGTAGGTTAACTTCAAACCTTTCTCTTAACACGTTCGCTGCGGCACGTCAAATAGCGGGCGTATCCCCAGTGCGGCGCAGCCCTCAGCGTCGAGTAAACCCGATTGCCGCGTGTGATTGGCCTTTTCAATTTTGGTCTGACGAATAGCAAATAACGTGAGGGGATGTCCTGCTTTACAACGAGAGTCGATGTAGTTCGCTAAACACCCACAGATAGCAGCACTGCTTGGAACGTAGCCGGTCCCATTGGAATTGTATTGCCAAATGGAGGGAAAAAGACGGGACAAAAAGAAGACTTTTGAGATTGCCAGACGGGAATTTTACGGGGAAATTTACTACCAACCTACACCACAACAAAATGCAAGTCACATACTACACGCTAACGTCGTATAGGTCCGCTTTCGGCCGACGCTAGAGCAAAAACGAAGACATACAAAAGGCATTACCGAGCGTTCCCGATGGGGTACGGACGCACCGTACGGGGGCCAAGCGCCGTACCCGATCGGGAACGGCCGCACTCTACGTGTTAAATACTTACCACCTGTTGTCCTTAACTCCTTTTGAAATACCTTTTGAGGTCTACTTTTAGGTTATCTTAATAGGCTTAGGCTGGGGGGTTTGCTGTAGGCCTATCTGGCTGCCAGCATAACGGCCTCGAAAATTACAGTTGTCGTGGTCATCTCCCTAGATTACGGCAACACCGTTAGGCCTATTATCTCTCGTGATCATGGATACATCGTAACTTAGTAATTTACGTGACTCGCCGACATGAAAAGATAACAAATGGCGATTCTTTATTGCATTGAATCATCACCGCTGACTCATCAACATTAAAACTAGTTTTTCATTCCCATAAGTATCCAATCACATTTAACTATGTCATATGGAATAACTTAAAAACTTAGCACTACCTAGAAAAATTTGGATAAGATTCTTGTTTACAGAAAAAAGCAATAGGCTTTTTAACTTTAAAACTTTAAAAGAATGCTGTTAAATCTAGATTAAAATGAGTGTTGTAAAGAAAAATAAAATCTTTACAAAAAACACATTCAAATATAAATATTTAAATATGTTTATTTGTAAAGAAAAATAAAAATACTCTGACTTATATATTTAAATATATACTAGTGGCTTGTAGGGGCAACAGCCCCTATAGGTATATATTCTCGTAATTATTTTTTACAAATTATTAGTCTCATGGGTTACCCTACCTTGAAATATCATTAAATATTTTTGTATATTATAATATGTATAGTTATTACATACCTGCATAATGCATTTTGATGTCTGCTCTGTTTAAAATAAAAATTCCAAAGGACTGTTAATGCAGTGAGTTTACAATATGAACTGCTTAATTATAATACCACCAAGGAACATTTTCAATAATAATATTCATGACTATTAATTAAATATATTCTTTGAATGTAGACAGATTCACTTCGATAAAACACATAAAGATAATGTCATCCTTCAAATTCTAAAATGCTAATTATATAAAAAAAATCTCTCTGAAAACAACATTTGTTGTGTATAGTAGTATTCATAGTATTCATCTTGGTTGATTCCTTGGTCTTTATTTGGTTCTAGTACTATTTTAACACCATCTAGCCGCTTTGCTCGGCTGAAAGCAACATAAAGTTACCATGGGGGTTTTTCTTCAAATAAATGCCAACTTTTGTGAAGGTTTGACCTTTCGCTTTAATTATAGGAATAGTGAAAGCTAATCGCAATAGGAATTGAATCCTTGTAAACGGCATATTAGGATCTGTAGATATTAGTTTTATTTGGGCATGAAAATAGGTCCCATTTGCCTATTCCATCAATTACTTCTAGCTTTACACTATTTTCAGACACACCTAACACAACCAATCATACTCTATTAACTAATCCAGACCCTTAAAATTGGGAAAAAGTCTATTTCAGCTGTATAATAGTTTGTTTTTTTTTGTACCTTTTGACTATTAATGATATTACATATCACCATATGCTTTAAATAAAGTTAAACCACATGTTTTAAAGTAAACAAAGCAGAAATGACCTAGATTTCCATGCTATTTAAATGTGAATTATTTTATTCCGTAACAACTTTTTGGTGCATAATTAAGAAAAATGAATATTTTTCCCCAAAATTTCATGCCCAGACCTTTAACCCTTAGAGTGCCAGGCGAGAAATAAAAGTAGCGCTCAAAAAATGCCTATGATTTTTCCCGAAGGTCGCGCTAAAAATGCCGAGCGCGATCTGGCGATTTTTAGGTTAAAATTTCGTAAAAATCGAATTTTCGATATTTCGACCAACGAAAATCGATGTATCGCATCTAGTAACTTTCGACTCAATGTTAATATATGGGTTAAAAGAATCCAAGTATCCATTCGGTTGTTATGACAGCTGTTCGATCATTACGAAACGTCCGGTCAGCCGGACGTTGGCACTTTTGGCTCGTTCTAAAAACGTCCGGTCGGCCGGACGTCGGCACTTTTGGCTCGTTTTAAAAACGTCCGGTTCCCCGGACGTTGGCACTCAAAGGGTTAAAATGAGACCTCTTCCAGCTTTCTACAGCCTCCCGTTCGCTCACAATTTCATTGTAAAATTTTGGGCTTACGGAATTAGATATATAGATTACTCTCCTTACAATACTCTCAATGATAAATTCTTTACAAATCTTGGTTGCCCCTAGGTTGGAAGAACTGTGTGAACAATAATTAATCAACAGAGCTTTGGCAGTGGAAGTTTGATGTTAATAATTAATGAGTGGGCCCTGTGGAATACAATTATTCCCAGAGATACTTAGGGGACGTCCCTGATACTGTTTGAAATTCTTCCAAGCTGAAAAACAAATCTTAAATGTACCGGTACACTGAATTTACTTTTCTCACTACCACACTAACTTTAGTGTTGCACTTCAATGTGAATCTTTTGTAGTGACCTATTGATTACCATAATATACCAAACTCTTTTGAATGAATAGTATTGCTAAAATAAAATACCCAGGTTATTGAAAACTATAATATATAACAATTCGATTTATTGCAGAAAATTGATAATATGACAATATTGACAATAAAGTTTATATCGAGTGCGACAATCAAAGATATTCTTTTTCATCAAAATTGTGATCAAACCCCTTGAAAGGGAAGTATATGGCGCGGTTACAAACCGACTCCGAATATGTCAACTGAGGCGTTATATTTTACTTTATTTTGAGATGACCAGTACTCGCAAATCCTTCGTTGGCCAACGACTTATAAAATGAAGATCGTGTCTCGTAGTCCAACCTGGTTAAACAGTATTTCTGTTTGAACGCAGTAAAACGTGATGAAAGATTGCTTATTATTTTATAGCTAAAGAGTACTATGGCGGTTCATCTATCTTGAAACACTCACTACCCCAATTAACACTTCCGTGTCTAGTCGAACCTGCAGCCTACCTCAACTTTCAGTATTATTTAATTTATTTTGCCCAAATCAAAACAAAGGCTGTTACACTCTTAATTAATACTAGTGAACCTGTGCGGCTCAATGCCCCGCAAAAACATATGAATTTAGAAAACAAATTCATCGTGTTATATATTGACTCGTTGAAAATTAAATACAGTAATAATAAAGCATTAGAAGGGAAGCAATCCAGCCATTTTCTAGCTGTATGCGTATTATATTTAGTAAATTAATAAGTGTTCAAGTTCAAGTATGTTACAGGGTAGTTATTTTTTTAAGACTTTTAAAAACACATTTAACAAAACATTTTATCATATCAAACCAATAGGCAGTGAATGTAGCATATACCTATGTAGCATATTTTGAGGGTCATAAAATGCTGCTTGAAGAAAACACTTTTAAAAATAAACACTGAAAAACAATATTTTTTTCACAAAAGCACTTCCATAAATACTACGATTTTAGTCTTAAAGTTACCTTCAGGAATATTACCCTGGTCAGAATTTTCCGTAATGAATATGCTTATCCTACTATTAAAAGATGTAGCCTTACTTAAAACAACATATACATATACAATATATACCTAGTTGCTCATGACTGAAATTGGTCTGGCTAAGAACATTGCTGCTCTTTATTTAAAGTGCTTGTGCTGCAAATGCCAAAGATGACAGAAATTAGCACCTTTCCATTTTAAAAGGTAACTTTGTTTCAGACGGGCAAATTTGTTATCCTCGAAATCAAAATATGTCCTTACTCACTTGTTCCATGTTAGGACTTTAGATTCTAGGCTACTTTAAATTGTTTTTAACCGTTCCGATCATGAAGCCTTGTGCCATTAATGAGGCCCTTTTTGATGTATTAATATCAATTTGCTCATGACTGAAATTGGTCTGTTTTTGTTTTGTGTTTGTTTTGCTTCCTTTTGCACATTATAGAGGAGGACACATTTTTTTATCCCATAAATTCCCCCCATAAATCCCCCTTCCCATAGTTAAATCATGCTTGTTCGCAAACTCATTCGAGTAATCTAGGGTTCGCAAACTCATTCGAGTAATCTTAGGTTTACATGTTTTTACCAAATTTCATCAAAATCAGATAATTTTTACTCGATTAATTGAGCTAACGGACTCAATAATTTTTATAGCCTATACAAATGAATTTGAGGCCTCAACTCTGGGAACCTCAAAATGATAAAGTAAATGAGTCTCGGGTTGAAGTATTACCAAGAGACCTACGGTAATAGCTTAGGCCTATTCCCTACAGTAGGCCTATAGAAAAATTGCTAATAAAAACGCAGTATCAACTAAAGCATTACTATTTAAAAAGCTCTATCTATGTATGACATGTAAACACATCAGCTTTGTTCACATTAAAACATGTGGATCTGTTCCATTAAAACCTCACAAGATTCATATTTAGTTTTCATTCAAACCATTTTTAATCACTAATACACGTTACTATAATAAATCAAATAAGCTTTTCCTTAGCAAGCCTATGGCATTTCCGACGCACCATTTCAAGTAGGCCTACCTATTATTAATAAGGAAATATGTATGGAGGACATTATAATTGTCAACCTTTTTTTTACATTAAAACACGGGGTTTTGTTTTATTGAAATCCCACGTGATCAGTATTAAGGAACGCGGCAGCGTTCCGCCCCGCCAAGTCCCCCAGCGGTACACAGCTGCTGCAGTGTATATATACATGACGTGACAAAGTGGCTTTTTTACTCGTCTATAGCTCTGAAGAACATTCATCTACTGGATAGGGGCACTCATTCTCAACAAAATAAAAAAAAGAATTTAAAAAACGGTTGTGTGTGAGCCAAGAAAAACTAGTTTGAAAATTCACAAATTTTCCGTGTTCTTCTCCTCCTTCTCCTTGAATGTTGACGGACCTACAGCCCAAACCACTGGCTCAATTTTAATGTTTTTTATGTTGTTTGAAAGCCCTTAACGTGTAGATGTGCCTTTTGAGGGTCAGAAGTCGGTGCGTTGACCCATAAACCCTTGGCAAGCCCTCAAAGTTTGATTTTGGCCCATTTAAATAACATGGGATTAAAATCAAAACAAAAGAAGGACCAGCTGCGACTAAATCTCAATTAATTTAAATGTTAGAGAAATTCATAGGAACAGCAGAAAATTGTTTTTAAAACTTTTATAAAGTATTTTTTTCAGGTATACCGAATGATTTGAACTACTTACTATATAAAATTACTTAGAGCAGTGATATTCCCCGATACTTTCCATTGAAAAATGCAGTGTACCGATGGTAAAGTGGTACAGCAGCTCGTCATTTTTAACAGTTTAATACTTCATTATATTGAATTTTAGCCTCCTGATCACAGTTAAATACTAAATAATGGTGTAAATACCTGCATTCATGTGATCAATTTGTTGCTAAATTGCAACCGGTTTCGACTCACAAAGGAGTCATCGTCGGGCCAGTACAGATGTCTTCTCGCTTCATTTGAAGGTCGTCAATTCATGATAAATAAATACATTTAACACGCACACGTACACGAACATAAAAACAAACATTTAGGGCTAAAAACGAAAGATGATACAATACGGTAACGGGACACGACGTGATCGTGTCTTCGACCAACGCATTTTATGTTGTTCAAGATGACCATTGATGAAATTTGAAACTGAGTTTAAGCCCAGTGGGTTTGTTAAATAGTTATTTTGGTACGTGTGTCAAAAAGTTTTTAGCCCGATCACGTCGTGTCCCGTTACCGTATTGTATCATCTTTCGTTTTTAGCCCTAAATGTTTGTTTTTATGTTCGTGTACGTGTGCGTGTTAAATGTATTTATTTATCATGAATTGACGACCTTCAAATGAAGCGAGAAGACATCTGTACTGGCCCGACGATGACTCCTTTGTGAGTCGAAACCGGTTGCAATTTAGCAACAAATTGATCACATGAATGCAGGTATTTACACCATTATTTAGAGTTTAATACTACTTATCAAAACATATGAAACCTAGGAACTTGAAACTTAGTACTAGTACTAAGGTTTGTTTTATGTTTTGATACACTAAAACAAATAAAACAATTTGGAAAATCACTCTACATATGTTAAACAAGCAATTAAAAAGTGATATGTAAATTTGGGATAAATGAGTTTTTCAATATTTGTTTTGCCTTATGCTATTTCTAACAAACCTAATCAGTTTGATTACATTTTTACATCTCTAATAAGGGCTCAATTTACACTAGTCTTTAGATATACGGGTTTAATTATCAGAACACTTATGTAACTCCGACCAACGCATTTTATGTTGTTCAAGATGACCATTGATGAAATTTGAAACTGAGTTTAAGCCCAGTGGGTTTGTTAAATAGTTATTTTGGTACGTGTGTCAAAAAGTTTTTAATCGGTTTAAAGCAGATAAGACCAAAAATGTAGAATTTAGTTCTACACAAACAATATTATTGAAATTAAATGAGATGTAGTTGTGCCGTGGTCTATATATCAGAGAAAAGAGGAATTTTATTTTAACTGTTAATTTTCTACAAAAATAATAAAATCTAACAAAAAACCACTAAGTGGTAACACTTTCCCCGCCAAGTCAGCAATCCAAAAAAGTTATTAAATCATTACTTTTTCCGCCAAGAAAAACAATGTAATGTATGTAAGTTTGGCAACTTGGCGGCAGACTTTTGCTCGATCACTTTAAAAAATACCATAAAACTAGTTTCATTGAGCAAGTATCCCTCCCATTAGTAAATTGCTAGGTGAGAGCTTATTTTACAAAATTTGACCTTATTTGTGCCACATTACATTTCATAAAATCATAATAGTGATGGTTTTATATTTACTGATTACCTCGAAATTATAATACTTAGTTGGACTAATTAATTAGAGAAGTTGATTTGTGAAATTATTCACAAACGTAACTTAAATGAAAAAAACCAAGCAAAAGTCTGCCGCCAAGTTGCCAAACTTACATACATTACATTGTTTTTCTTGGCGGAAAAAGTAATGATTTATTAACTTTTTTGGATTGCTGACTTGGCGGGGAAAGTGTTACCACTTAGTGGTTTTTTGTTAGATTAACATATGGTTTTCATTCAAACTGATTCATTATTAATATACAAGCTTTGACTATTTACAAGCTACCAGTACTTTAAAAAAATCAAATAAGCCATCATATGATATATGATTAGTGTACAGATAAAGCATTAGTTAGGCCTAGCAAATAACGATTTTGTGTGTTCTAGTCTAAATTAAAATGGAGGACCGTGAAAAAAGTAGTGAAGAAGAGGATGGAGAGATACTATTCTTTGAAGATAGAACACCAGGAAATGCTTCATCTAAACACATCTCTTCAAAAGCTAAACATTCGGAATCCGAAAACTTCCTCCGTTTTGAATCTACAGCTCAAGAAAGCCCACTGAGTCCTGATGAAACTCCAATGAGCCCTGCAGACTCGGATAGGGGTAGTAGGCCAGTTAGTGTGAATCGTGATGAGACTGACAGTAGGCCAACAAAGTCAAAATTGATTGGAAACAGTGATGAAGGTGGAACGGTTGAAGATATTTTGTTTGTTGAGGAAGATAGAAACCCTATTTTGACTGGGCAAGAGACCTGCTCACCAAGATACTATATCAATGTAAGTTTAGACAAATTGTACTTTTTTATTTGGATATTATTTTTATTTTATTTTATACTAATTGTTTATCACACGATACTTTGGTAGGCCTATTATCCGGAGGCCACCCTTATACAGCAATGCGTTGGTTATGTTAGGTTGGGTTATCATAAATATGTTTGTAGGACTTTCCTCGTTTTGTTATGAATCGAACGACACCAGATGAGTCATATTTTCGCACGCCAAATCCCCTCCAAGTAGGCCAAGGTCAGGTCGTTGACAGTACCGCATTTCCCATTAGGCCCACTAGGCCCAGGCCTAGGGCGCCAAATTTTAGGGGGCGCAAAATATTCAACTTCTTAAATGAATCCCACGAACGCACCCACGTGTCAGACCGGTAGCCCTGCTACCAGCCCACTGACGCGCGGGCCCGTCCGAGACCGAGTGTAGTTTGAATTTGCCGCATTTAGTAAGCAAATAGATGAAGAAGAAATAAGGGTTGCCTTGTTTGGTACTGCCGTGTTGGTAATAACCTGCTTTTACTTGTGTGATATTTCGTTTTGCTGTTGTCCCAACGACATCCCTGCAGCGACTGCCAAAAGTCAGCTATGTTATTCTCTCCTGTTTACTTAACCTGTTGTGTTGTTCTGTTTATGTTTAGTTAGTAAAAAATGTTGAATTATGCCGGTATTTCACTTAGAGATAATGAAATAGGTGTAATTTGTTCATCAATATATTTGCACACCGGTATTATGTATCGTGATGGAATTATTTCTGATTTTGAATGTTGTTCATCATAAACGTATTTTGTGTTGTTTATGTTAAATAAAAAAGACTAAAAACTCATACTTTTCAAGTTATTTCACACCATCCAAATAAAATTTTGACCATAACAATTATTATTTACTTAAAACTGGTGGATACCGGTACATATAGGCCTATATTTTTTACAATACAATATGGTACGGTTTTGTAAATGTTCCACTCCTACATTTTACAAGATTGGGATCTTCTGAGGGAAGGTAGGGTATTTATCATTGTTCATTTAATCTCATTAGAGGTATAGTATTATAGGGGCATACATTTTAAAGGAGTTGATTTATTGAAAGTATCAACGGATTATCCTTCTATATGCTACTCAATGACAATGATTGTGACATTATTTACGTTTCCCGACCAATATTACGGCCGGGAGGGCGCAACTGTTTTGTGGGCCTAGGGGCGCCGTTTGGCTAAATGCGGCCCTGGTCGTTGACCGTAGCGTGTGCATCGCCTGTGGTTCATTCCTTGTTAATGAGACTTTTTGACAAAAAAAAGTTAGATTGAAGCCAATTTTATATCTTGCTTATTTATCAACTTATTCTGACAAAACTTGGGATATTGCTTTGTATCGATGTGGTCTATTGATATTTGCACAATTTTGTTTTGCCAATAGTTCCCGAAGCAGCAAACCTGCTTACTCAGACCCCATGTTATTCTTACGAAGGATAAGACAAATATTATCTCCTTAATTATGAACATAAATTATAACTTGGTATGTGGCTTCACCTAGTTGAGTTGTTTATTGATTGTTTTATGTAAAATTAATTATCAACGAGTTTTTATACAAATAGGCCCTAACAAAGTTTTGATTCAACGATGTAACACCCTTAACATTCAGTGTAACACCCGTAACACAAGAAAACTGTAATTACGATTACTAAGCCTAGAAAATTACAATAGTCATAGTCAATGTATAACTTAAGTAGCTATAAGTATTGTTACTCCACAAATTTTTTTATAGAATAATAGTTTTATCCAATTCACAGATATCATAGATTTCTCAACCAGATATCAATAGCTAGGTCTATTTTAGGTAACACCCATAACTCTACTTTTAGTTTTAAGATTAATATCTTGAAAAATATCAAATACACACAAGTATAAGCATACTCAGCATACTGTAATATGCAAGACCTAACAGTTTTGAATGTGGTTTAAAAAATAAAATATATACTGTACTTTTATCTTGTACTATTAAATTTATGCTGTGTGAATGTGTTATGTTACTTATTGAATTAAATAATTATAACACATAATTGTAAGAAACTAAAAATAAAGTCTTGTTTTTATTCATTCCTCAATCTTAGAATTGTAAATATTACATCAGCTGTAAAAAGAAATAAAATTAAATAATGAGTCCAGACTAACATATCCTACTATCCTACTAATATTATAAGTGAGAAAGTTTGGATGTATGGATGTATGTATGTTTGTGACAAGTAAACGCAAAAAATACTGGTCGGATTGGGCTGAAATTTGGGGTGATGATAGCTCACATTCCCGTTTAACATATAGGCATATTGTTATCTCAAAACTCCTTTCAGGCTCTGCCCCAGTGGCTCTGGAGTTTCCCATGTTAACCCAAAAGGAATAAAAGAATTTTGTCAGCTGTTTCAACTACACAAGTTGGTTCTATGATATTAAATAGCATTAAAAAGTTATACGGTTTAAAAACTGGTTGCAGCACTATTAGTTTACTAGTGGCTTGTAGGGACATAAGTCCCTAAAAAGCTCAAATGTAAAACAACTTTTTGCAATACCGGTATTTAAACAAACTCAGAATAACATTATCTATGTGTCAGAATAGGCATCCCTACACCATATCTTTTGTGTAAAAACCAGTTTGTTGTTCTTCTTTGTTTGCTTTTGTTGATGTCATTTTCAATAAATAATTTGAATCACTCCAGTGGTTTAAAATGAAAAGGCAGCAAACATATCATTGTTTGTGAATAAATACTGGTTTACTAAGGTAGCTTTGGTCTTGTGGTTAATGAGGATAAATAAAAGCTTCCCTGTTTGGAATTTTAAAAATTCATTGGAGATTCGCCTTCAGATGAATTGAAGACGCCTGCAATTTCATCTGCAGTAGGCTTATCATACCTACGACGATCCATATTTATCCTGTCTACAAACCTAAGTTCTAATTCACTGTCACCTTGTACAACCATTTCTTCCGAAGCTCTTTTGTAAATTTGTGCAAATGGATTTTCTAATAGAATTTCAGCTAGTTTTGACAATATTTCAGGTTTTAAGTCACTATTTTCTCGACGCCTTTGATGAATTTCTGTTGCTGTTGATGTGTCAATAATGTACAATTGGCCATACACGGGGTCTTCATCATGTTGAGGCAGCAAATCTGAGATTGAACGAGAAATCTGTCCTTGAATTTTGAAACAGTATGGTCCTTTTCCTGGAATATCTTTCTTACTGGCTGAAAAATAAGCAAAAGCCATCGCACTGTTGCATTGTCGAATGAATTTATACAGTTGTGGGCTCTCTTCAAACAAACTTTTAAGTTCTACATTAGTTTTTGACTGAGGAAGGTTAATAAGTCCGTTATGGCAACATGTCATAAAATGATTATTCGTTAGTTCTTCTCTAAAATGAAGAGCACTACATTGAATGCACTCTTGGTCCAGTAATCCTGCATCATTGATCTTTACATTTCCCTCGTCTACCATGGGTCTCCTAAAAAGGGGTTGTAACATATCTTGATTAAGTTCGTCATTATCTACTCTTGCTCTCCTACGCGCACTGTCATTCCTATGAACAGTTCCCCGCCTTTGTGGTATTCCCCTGGCGTTCATATTAATTACAGTACTTATAATGAAAAGAATATATATCCAGCAGCCTACATACCAAAATATCTTGAATCCCTGGTGATTTTATAAAAGTATGATCGAATATGATTACTCTACGTTGTATATTCACTGCACTAAAAAAATTTACTTACGAAGGAATGCAAATACACCATTTTAGAACCAATAACATTATAGGTTATTTTAGTTGTATATATTTACACAACCTTAACCTTAAAATGTGTAGAAATATAAAGAAAACAACATCATTTAAAATAAACTTGAACATATGATTTAAAAATAAAAACAAAACAGAAGTTAGATTTAATTTCGACTCTTTGATTATTTATACAGAATATTTATTCTATGTCGTTTATTCCTTTAACACGACAATAACGTAAAAGCATGAAAAAATTAAACTTGAGTATATGACTTAAATTGAGTATGTATATGATTTAAATATAAACAAAGAATGCAGACGTTTTTCCGACTAATCTTCAATATTTCAGTTTTATTATAGTATACATTTCATAGTTGACTGGCTAAAAGTAAACCAAATGCGTGTATTGATCACTGTTTTCAAATCTGTGGCACGGCTGTTTTAATTTCAAAAGATGTAAACAAATTAAACCCCATGTTGTTTTAATGGGAAAAGTTTTATTCTGTTGCGAATTTATGGTAAAAAAATAAGAAAAATGAATAGTTTTCCCTCAAAATTCACGTCAAGACCTTTAAAATAAGACCCCTCCCATCCTTCTACGGCCATCCAGTCACTCACAATTTCTTTACAAAAATTTGACTTACGGAATTATATATATAGATTATGCATTTACCACAACATCTAATTTGAACCAACTAGCAACAAAAAGCTAAAAAAATGAGAATTTCACTTTTTTCATTGTTTAGGTGTAGTGGTTTAGAACATTATGGCTATGGTAGATGTGCTATACTATATAGCATATCGTAAACTAAAAGAACAAGAGTGCGCTCTACCCCTGACGCGCAACCAAATGCAAGGGTTTGCAAGATTACTGTTTTCACCTGCTACATTAAAGGTAGAATCAAAGTTAAGATCTCATATTAAAGAGGATGACATTTTCTATATTTCTGTGTTTCATTATTTCATTTATTTTTAATACACACCTTATAAAATTGATTTGTAGGACAAGAAAAAAGGTCTTTTCAACTAGCCCTAACTTATTGAAAAAACGTTAGGCCTATTTGAAAATTTTAAAAACGCAGAACTATAGATTGGTATTTGCACTACTATAAGCCGTTTAGAGTGCGTAGCTATCATTATTGGTTAATTCTAAAACAGTAATCTTGGAAACCTCTGCAAGCGCTTCTCGCGGCACTGTCCAATGGTGCAACATAGCAACTGAATCCCGAGCTGAGGTAGAG